ATCTTGCTTTGCTGTCCTCCCAGGCTTATATTCTTATGTTTGCTTATTTATTTTCCTCCTTCCCTGTAGCTTGCAAAATTGGATATTACAAGGCTCTCTCCACGGATGCCACCTGTGCCAAGTGTCCACCCCACAGCTACTCTGTCTGGGAAGGAGCCACCTCGTGCACCTGCGACCGAGGCTTTTTCAGGGCTGACAACGATGCTGCCTCCATGCCCTGCACCCGTGAGTTGTTTGTTTATCTCCCATTTTTGTGATGACAGCAGCATTCCTTACCACCCAGCAGGGCATGGCCAGGCCCTCTCTCGGATGACTTCATGGGGGGCAAATTAGATCGAGCATGAATCCTGGCTCAGTCATAGCAGGGAAAGTGCTTATGAAAGCAAGGATCACTTGCCCTGATTCTGGTTGTGTTTAAAAATGTACAGTTGCTTTGTGGAGGACAGCAGGGATGTTCGGGGCTTGGCAGACGGTATAATTAGAGCTGAGGTTGGAATGGTTTTACCATTGCAGGAGAGACTTGGGAAAGTTAGCAGCTGTGGGGGACACAGGCAGAGGGGAGTGCTGAGGAGCGCGGTTTCAGTAAGCGAGAAGATGGCTCAGCAGGCACTGAGGTCATTGCTTGACTTGGTGTTGCGCCTCCTCCTCCTTTGCTTATAGTTTTGTATTCATAGCACTTAGCAATGGATCCTTACATATGCTTGTTTAGTGACAGGCACTTAATAACTGCTGGGCTGGCAAGGATGGTATATAGGGAAGTAGAGAAGGCTCTTCTCATGGCTTATTTGGGCAGTGTGTCTTAAGTGCTGCCATTCTCTTCCTCAAAACCCTGAGCTCCCCAGTTCCCACAGCACCAACGGCTGAGACTTTGGCCAGGACAGGAACGATGGTCCTGGGCATTCTAGCATGTGTTGGCTTTAGGTGAAGTTTCAGTTTCAGTGTCCAGGAAGTGGGCCTAGTAGCCCATCACACGTCTTCTGTGGGCTCTGCTTTGTTCTCAGCCTACTGTTTCTCAGCTGAGGGACTGTTTAGCCTGTGATACTGCACTTTCTTCTATATAGAACAAAGTTAAGAACAGATCAACTTAAATATCCCTTTTCCAAAATGCTTTGGACTTAAAGTGCTAGAGTTAAGACTTTCTAGATTTTGACATAGATATTTGATTCCATGTATTGAAATATCATGTGGATAAACTCATGTCTCAGCATGGAATTCATTTCTAGTTCATGCTATCTTATTTATACAAATACCCTGAAAATATAATTTTATACAATATTTTTTAAAAGTACCTGCCTGTTAATTGCAATCCATCCCATTGGAGCAGGGATGGGATTTTCTTCTTATGTTGTCCTGTTTAGGATCAGAAGATTTCAGGTTTTAGAACATTTTGGTCTTTGCATTTTTGGATCAAGATAATTCAACCTCTACTTCCCACTTTTGTTTCACCTGCTCTAGCCCAGACATTTTCTCCCCCAGTCTAAATAATTTTTTGCTACATTCCATTTTGTGTTACTAGATTAATAATGAACTTCCTACCACTGTCCATACCTGCTATCAACAACTCCCTAGTGACAGGAATTTAGGGAACAATAATAAAGTCAAGGGAAAGTATCTTTGGGTGACATTTTGATAATTGCCCCTTTTTCTATCATGCAGTCTGTGTATTTTCCATATAGGCAGTGCCCTCTCCATATTGAGGTTTGATTATGCTATCCATGTCATGAAACTCATTGTTGATGGCATGCTGTGGCTCTGCTCTCACTATTTCCCAGGCTCAGGATTCTGTCCTATTATTTTGCATCCTAGGGCACAGTGTGACAATCACTTAATTGCTTTACCTTGTACCTTGGGAGTTTGGGGAAGCTCCAAAATCACCATATGCCTGTGACACTAGCCCATTTGCCTGCTGTGTAATAACGAAGCAGTCATTGAGCCTTTGGAATTTTGTATTTGTGTAAGAATAAAATTTTAGCTTTACATCAATAATGCAAATAAAAAGAAAAGCTGCTTTTAGCATAGAGCTAGAACAAAAAGATTTAAAACTCAAAGTAAGTTCTGCATTTTTCTGGGGTGGGTTTTCAATAAGGTGCACAAGGTGAAGGGAAGCAGAGTAGTGACCTTTGTGAATCATAAATAAAAGGTTTATAAAGACAGCGAAGGAGAAGGCGGCCCTTTCCCTCCTGCACTCAGGGTAGCGTGCCTCCTCCTCTCCTACTGCTTTAGGGTCACATGTGGGTTTAGTCCTCCAGGGAAGAGGAAGCACCATACGTGCTGACGTGCTGACGTCACACACAGGCTTGCCGGCCCGACTGCCTTAGCTCCGACCATTAAGCCCATTTGTGACTTTGATTGTGCATTTAATCTCTCAAGCCATAGCTTCCTTATCTGTAAAATGGATTCTCAGTATCTATGTCTGTGGTTGTTTAAGAAATAACTAAGAAAATATTTGCTAAGTAGGAGCACATGGTAAGAACCAAATAAATATTTGTTCTCATCCTCTTTTATCTCTAGCTGGTTATTTCCTTCCCCAAACCATCACCACAGCGGGTTGTTAATGCGTCTCACTATCTCTCTATTAGTGTTTTGTGCCTTTGGCCACACAATTAAATTATCCAACGGCCACAATGCACCGCAGGATCTCTGGGAGTAGGACTCACACATCAATATTTTCAGAAATTAGCCCATTAATTCCACGTACAATTGAGGGTTGAGACCACATCTCTACAGAGTTTTATTTTGATTATTGTTTTTAAGCTTATGATATTTACTCACAAGACCTCCTTTGAGAAAGTAGTCATAGTCAGGGAGGCCACCATGCTTTGCTAATGTAGATTCATGCCAGTAAGTGGAGCAGCAGAATTAGAACCAAGTTCTTATCCTCTGGTTCCCCCTCTTGATTTCCTCCCTTCCTGTTCTGCACAGTGGACCTACATTGCCGAGTACAGTCGGCCCAAGGCCCATGAGGCTGTTGCCATTTACAGTTATGAACACTGGGTGTAGAATTCAGTTTCTCCTTCACACTTGCTGCACTGCGAAGGTTTGGTAACTCATGGGCAGCCCAACGGCAGTCTGTTTTTTATCATCATAGAAAGTTCTATCAGACAGCGCTGTAGTCAACATTTCAATGAAGGAGACAGTGGGAGTTTCTCACAGAACCTCTTCTTGTTCAGATAAAAGCTGCCCGACCCCAGCTTTATCAGACTCTCTTGACAAGATGTGGGGAACAGAAGGAACGTAAACATCAGGGCTCCTTTCAAAGTGATCTCAGCCCCTAATCAGTTCTTACCAGTTGGTTAAGCCAGGTGACAAACCCAATTCCCTTGTGCTGACAGCCATGATAATCGGGCACCTTCTTTGTTCATTATGATGTCTTTAACCCCCGGCATTCTTATGCAGTCCTGTGCTTGGCGATCGCTCACTGTGACGGCCCACTAATGAAGAAATAAAACACACTCTCCGAGACTCATTCTTCTAGCCAAAGAGAGACTCTGCTCCACTGGCTTGTAAAATCAGGTTTTTGTTCACTTGGAGAACGATTAGACCAGGCGGATACAAGGAGCATCAGCTAATTTAGTGGAGATCCCTAGAAGCTCATACCATCCACACTGCTGGAGGACAGAAAGGAATTTAATAAACAAGTTCTACTTGGAGGAGAATTTTTGATGGAGCCCCTGGTTAGGTTGATGGGGAAAGAAAGCTTCCAGTGAGACATGCTGAGATGTTTCAGTATAAGCATTGTCTGACTGTTGTCCAGAAAATAGCCCATATCTCTTTAGAAAGGAGAATGTAAGAGTTTTTAAAGCATCAATGCTGATAGAAACCACATGAAAGTTGCCTAAGGGTTGGTGGAACCAAAGTCAGGTGTGAGATTCTGCAATTCTGACATGTCTTGGATGACACTGATTGGTGGCTCAAGCAGCTCTAGGCAACAGGGCATGGATTCCTTCTTGGATGGATGGCAGGAGATGGGATATCTTCTTTCATACCTGCACCTTCAGGCCTGCTCAGCTCTGTCGTGACTCTGGAAGGATATTGCAAGGATTCTGAACGCTGCCCCGTAATGGAAATTGAATACTTCATTTGTGTCCTCCACGAAGAAAATACAAACTGGTTTGGGGTCACATAAGCATTGGAAGATCTTTGGGGATTTAGTTTTGTGGTTTGTTTCTTCCAGAGTCCTCCCACTTCATGGCAGAGAATAAAAATGTAGCTATTCACCTCACACACCTGTCACAGTCAAGAAAAGCCTCAGGGTTCTCTAGCAATACTGCCAGTAGCCCAGACACAGCTACTTCTAGATACACACAGGACTCCATTTAAGTTGATGGAAAAATTTAGATTTCATCAATCATTTCTTTTTTATTTTATTATTTTTATGAATTTAGTACAGGGTTACTGGGTGTGCAGGTCTCACTACATAGATTGGACACATAGTGATCCTCCTGCTTTCAGCCTCCCAAGGCTGGGATTATAGGTATGTGCCACCAGGCCCAGTCTTAAGTCTCAGCACGCCTGGGGGTGGGGCCAGCACAATAGGGATCAAACCCGCTGCTGCATCTGCCTAAGCAGGCGCTTTAGTCTACTGAGCTATGTGGCCCAGCCCCTAATCATTTGTTAGGAAGAACTTATTTTTCTTTTCCTTTTTTTTTTTGTTTTGATTGTTTCAGGGATTGAACTCGGGACCTTGCGCTTGCCAGACAAGCAATTATTCTACTGAGCTATCTCCCCAGTTCCTAGGAAGACTTTTGATGTGATTTTTACTAAGGAAATTGATGTCCTTTAACAGCAGACACTCAGTCCCTTTCTCCTCCAGATCTCTTCCTCTTTCCATTTTCCTGTCTGTTAGTCTGGAATATAGTCTAGCAGTCACCAGTGTTTGGAAGAGTCCATTAATTACAGGAGCAGGAAGATATAATTACTTAGTCCTTTAGTTTCTTGTTCAATGACTATTGTGAGAAAATAATTTTCTCCTACAGAGAGGCCAAAGCAATACTGTATTTAAGGTAACACTTTAATTTCCTACTGTATTTCAAAATGTTTGCCTTATGAAGGTAGCAATTAGTTTTGTAGGACCAAAAAGACCTACCTGTTAGGCAGGTGGGCAGCTGTCATTCCAGCACTTGGGAGGCTGAGGCAGGAGGATCACCTTCAGTGTGAGACCAGACTGGGCTACTTAATGAGTTTGAACCCAGCCTGAATTAGATGGTGAGACCTGGTCTCAGAAC